GAGGACAGAACGAGCGCTAAAGGCCACGCATAACCAAGAGCCAATGTGCCTTACGCACGTCTGAAAATAGGGCAAACATTCAGAAACTGATGTCAGTGCTGTCTCTACCAGGCAAAGAACCACATCAGCAAACGTTAGAAGGAAATGTCAGAGGAACTGAGGCAGCACCAGACCACCAACCACGCCTGAGAATCCTCCCCTAATAACCTAGAGTCTAACATGGATATTTTGCTCTTTGCAGGTCTTAATGCTGCCCACAGAATAAGTGAAACTTTTTTTTTTTTCCCTTAGAAGTTCATGTGGGGAAAGCAATTAGTTAGCTGACAAACCTACCATAAACAGATGCTGCAAAGCTTGCAAGAGTCAAGGGCACTCTGACTTCAGATGAAGCCAAAGTATGGTTTAATACAACTAGTGTGAATATCTAATTGCTTTCAACTGAATTCGAGACTAGTCTGCTCCAAGAAATCATATCAAAACTTTTCCATTCATGCTGCATGGCTTACCTTCAGTGTTTAAGATTTAAAACTGAAGTTTCTGCTAAGAAATTCAGAGCACATGTCAACGGAGCAGAGAGGAAAGAACAAAAAAGTGAAATTTAGATAATATATTCATCAAATACAGATTGTTTGTTTCAGTCTTGTACTCTTATAGCTGTTTTAGTCCTACAACAAGGGCTCTGCTGGATAGGACGATGACTACAGGATTCCCATGCCTTCACAGCAGTTCACAGGCTCTTCTGTCTTCATAAAGCAGCATAAGGCTTGTTTTTCCTGCAAGTCCCTAAAGGCTTTTTCAGTGGACCTCGAAAGGAATGCAGACATCCTAGTTCCTTCCACCAGAGCTTCATAAACAGCAACAATAACTGAGGTAAGGGGACACGCTATAAGTAAATTGGACAGTCTTTGGAACCCTGTAGACTCCTATTCTCCCCCCAGCTGACAGCAGACCAGTTTCCCCCAGTCCTCTGCATGCCTACAGCACTACCAAACCCTAGTACAGGGAGAGCTCTGTGGCTCTAGTGAATTCAAACACTGGATACCCATTCTGCATCCCTCCTACAAAAGGCTTCCGAGAAGTATCCATCAATAATGTATTTCGGCATGAACAGTCACCACAATGACTTCTTTTGAATCTTTTATCTGAATTTCACTGGTTTGGTAACTGGTCAGCATGACTGTTACAACCAACAAGCAAGCAGCACAAAAGATGAAAAGGCATAAATGAAACTTGCTGTACTCCACACAAAGCCAGATACGTTTGAGGGAATAGCATGGCTTTTAGTTATAGAACTACTTGACAGGATTTCTTTTTTGAATAAAACACCAGAAACCAAGTCTGAAAGCAAAAGCCCATCACCTCTTTCAATTCCACTCGGATTTGCTGAGGAACACCATTCACTCCTGATGGGACAATCTTGAATGCGTACTAAAGAAGAAGTTTCATAGCCTCCACGTTTAAAAGGTATCTTGTTGGTATCGGCTCAGGAACGCAGCCAGAGGTAGAAGGTCAACCTAGGTGCAAAGCGAACACAACAGGAGCCAGCCGCAGAGGCCAGCGGAGCAAGGCAAATACAGAAACTGCAGCAGAAATGCACGAACAATTAATTTACAAACATTAACTTTATTTGAAAGTCCAACAATTAGGAGAAAATACACTGGAATTGTTTTAGCTTTTAAGAGATCCCAAAATAAATTACATAAAAGACTTGAACAGTTCTAAATATTAAAAAGATCATAAAAATTAACGGCACTTTCATATGCCAAGATTAATCCTTGTCCATTTCAACTATATTAAAAGTTGCCTGTGCAGGGATTATTGTTATAGCCATGCAGAAAACAATACAATTTTCAGGTCTAGATGCCTCAGTAAAGATTTACAGGCATAGGCACTTAAGGGCAAAAAGAGGTCGAGAGAGGTAACATCCCATGGAAGTCAGATCTCTAGGTTCACACACAATCTCTTACTAAACACTGCTGTAAGTTGCGAAAGGTTTTAAGTAGGCAACGTTATCCGGTATCAGCAGAATGGAAAGTGTGCCGTTAGATTACGTAGGCTACAGTGGAGTTTAGTTTTAATTCAAGACCTTGACGCCCCCACAAGGTTACCAGTGCTTTCTACAGCAGACGCATTTTTCAGAAACTGAACATGTTTGTATTGGACCACACCGATTTTTACTCTCCTCAGCTCCCTGTTAAGGAAAAATGCCATTTATTCAAAAATTAACTTTTTCTTCCATTTTTTTAACTTTCATTCTGATAGATGAACACTGAATGAAACCTAGTGTCAATTACTACCGGTTTCAACACATTCCATTACAGTATATAATGAAACAACATCAAAGGCTACTAATGCTGTGGAGGTTTCTCTTTCTAGTGTACCACACCAAACTTTTGATGTGCAGTGAGCGTACAGTTATCTTCCAAACTAAGATGTGAGTTTGAAATCCAGCTCAAGTTAAGTATCACAATTTTTCATGGCTATGAGATAACAGACTCAAATTTAGGAAACTCTAGACACGTTTTCATTCATCCCAGAAAACGTTTGCTCCTTTTCACCCTGATTTCTGTCTGTGCCTTTGGGTCATACCAAGACCCTATCTCCCCTTTATCCCAGAACTTGTCTATCGACAGCACTACTGCTAGTGATACCCTCAGTTAAAATGCAAGTCTTCCTGCTCTGTATCTACTTCTTGATACTTTCACATTGCTTATTACAGCACTGTAATGTAAAAGAATGTCATCTTCATTATATTCGCTGTCCAAGTATTTCCCTATAGGGTAACAGCTAGGTAGGTATTTTATATCAGTCTCGCTCCTGACACACTATATACTCTCCCCTTAATGTGTCAGAGTCCCCAGCTCAAGTTACTCTCTCTGGAGGTATCCATGACAGAGTCACAGTTACAGACTTGAAATATTATACATAAGCAACTCAATATAGCTCTGCTTCTATTTAGCAAAATGACTCTTTTTCATAACATGACTTCCAGAAAAAGAGGGAAACAGGTCTCAGTGTCTGCCAAGAGTATTCTAACCCTTTTATTCCTTTATTTTATGTATTTTTTTATCCTTTCTGCAGATGACAGTCATGTGACCAAAGTACCAGCAGGAAAAATTTACCCAACGGGAGTGTAAAGGACATTCTTCAGACTGCTTTGGGTATGGAGAGCTCCCAAAACTGCCTTTGGAAATAGCACAGGCAGCATTTCCACTGATGGGATTAAATGAAATCAGCTGCATTGTGCTGCAGCCATCCACTTTCCTCTTTGGCTGCAAGTACTGGCGTGAGCTATGATAAGCCTCAGATAGCGCTTCGTTGAAATCAAAGAACCGAGACAGCTCTGACTTATTAGTATTCTGTGAAACAGCGGTGACTGATTTTTAATTTTAAAAAGAAGAAGGAAAAGGTGATAAATATCTTACATTTAAAAGTGTGCTTTCTGTTTACAGGAGTCTTTATTACTCCGTCATGACAAAGAAACCATTAAGATCTCCACAAAAACTTCACTGTGTGTTTGTAAAATTAAATTCTCCTTCCAGTCAATATCATATAATTTATCTAGTTCACCTTAAAAAAACCCCACACATTGTAATGCCTATGAAGGATGTTGGCACAACAGTAGGAACTAGACAGTCCTTCTTCCAGTCAAGAAGGGGTACGGTCTGCGTAAAAGATCTGGAAAGACCCCTCCGACCACATTCTCCACAGCCCATTATGTCTTTGGTCCTTCCATGGACAACACTGTTGTCAAACAGTGTTATTTCTGATGTAGTACTAATTTCTATTATAATCCAACCTACCACTTCTGTTCCTAAACCAAACTGCATGGGTTAGGTTTTGTATATTATGCTCATCCCAATCCATATCCCTGAGAACAGAGCTGGGAGTGCCCAGGTCTTCCACCAGTCAGCCTCGTTGCTTTACCTGATGACAGAAGACGGCTGCACATTGTGATCCCTCTCCCAGCCTGTGACTGGACTTACTGTGCATATATATATATATATATTTTTAATGTATACACATGCAAAGTAGTACTGAGAAGAGAAATCAACAACAGCAAAGCAACATTAGACTTAAAACTGCTTAGTGCTCAGTGTATGAGCAATCTAGTTAGGTGAAAGTTTCAGAAAGTCAAGTGATGCAAGATGAAACAGGACATAAAGCAACGTATCTCCTACGTCAAATGTTTTCACATATTAGAGACCACCCTGCATAATCCACTCAGATTTGTGATATGTAAGCAGAAAAAGCAGGAGTGTTGTGCCCTTGTGACTGCTATTATGCACCTTCTCTGACAAATACAAAAGATTGATTACATGATTGGACATTTCAAATACAAAATGGTAGTATACATATCATAGCAAGCACACTTGGAAAAAGCAATAAATAAGAAAACCCTGCTGATACAGTAGGCCTAGAATAGCCCTATGACAAAGAAATGGCTTTCTAAAAGCCTTTACAAGACTGTAAATGTTCAGTATAAAAATAAACAAAAAAGATATTAAAATATGACACAGTATAATTTTTAAATAGAGAGGGCCTGGTAACAAATACAAGCTATTCCCCTTCACGTACACAGGCTGAAGATTGGAGCCATGTCATTAACTACTTTCTGATTAAACAAATTATTTTAGTCAACCTGACACAAAACTTTGACATGAAATAGCTTAAGGCTTTATTGCTTTCATTTAAATTTGGCAGTTGAATTTATAATCCTCATTGTGTGACAAAACATTGACGTGTTCTGTTTTAGTTTTTAAATCCAAACTCTCTCTGCATACCAGGAGGATAAGGTTAACAGTCAGTCAGTGGCTTTTAGCCATAAAGTCTGCACAGATGACATGTCAAACATTTATTCATTTATGGCTGAAATAATGACAACTGCCATTAAAAGGGGGCTGATATTCTCCCTTTTTTCATCTTTGATATGCTATATCTTGGTAGAAATAGTTTTGTGAATTGAATAATTCAAGATCACTAGAGCCTGTTACCAAAACTTAAGAGTGTGTGTGTTTTTTCTTCATCTGCAAGAACGGAGAGACAATGACAATATCATCTGAATCATCTGAGTGAGCTTCATCCACAGACAAAGGGAGAGTAGGCTGCGACTGCTTCTCAGAGGACCTGGCTGAAATAATTACAAAGGAAACAAAGTCATCAATAAACAACATTGACAAAAACAAGCCCTTGTGGGAAGTGTAATATTCTCTGAGCCATTAAGTTTCCAGAATTACCTACAGTTATGAATAACTCTGATCTACCTTTTTCTGCATATAATTATTCCCGTTCCTCTTTAATGAAAAAGCATGCATGGCAAACGTTAAGTTGACATACTGACCATGCATGGTGTGTCTTACTGTCTTTAAGTGGTTACACACCACAAAGTAAAGCAATTCGATACTGAAGCCATCTCAGGTCATAAAGATAAATATTTATTAGATGGCCAGAAAAGGAAAGATTGACCCAAGCAAGCTTAAGCTAAGCAGAAAGGTCATAATGAGAACTTCAGTCAGATATAGATAGAGAAAAGGGAAATCAGCGAGGGGAAAAAAAGGATGGAAGCTCTCAATGACCGTCTTTCATCCTTGTATCTGTAAAATACCAAAAATATTATTCACATGCTGTACTACCTTATTTAATGACAACAAAGATGGTGACCGCACCATGGTTTGTTTTGTTGTTTGTTTTTTTTTTTTCTTTTGCTTCTTTGCTGTTTTTCTGGATGCACGATTCTATGTATCTCATCAATTCCAACATTTGAAGAAATGTTCAGGGCATGAACAGATATAACCCTAATGATTCCAGTAAATATGGGAAAATCAGAGGGATAAAATGGATACATAAAAGGCCCCTAAGATCTGACGAGCAGAACCGGCAGCTTGTATCCTCTCTGCAAGAGATCTATGAACTAAATGATGACAGCTATTAATACCTTCTAGCACAATATCATCCCCTCAGCTATTAATACCTCCTAGAACAATATTCTCCCCTCAGCTCCACTTATTTTTCAGTTTCAAATACCAATTCTCTGAAAAGACTGTCTCCCAGAGAAGAGAACAAATCAAGACGACCTGTGGTAGAAAGAGGAAACAGACAAGTACGAAGCCATACACTGAGATTTTGACACTGACATGGAAGGGAAAACGGAGGGCACACAGAGAATATTACTTGGGGAGAAGAACAGCCATGCCGTGGGTTTCATAGTGAAATAAGAGGTTCCTGACACAGAAAAAAAACTCCTGGTATGGAAGAGGAGGCATACACAGCAACTGGAATGTGGAATAAAGAAAGGGGACCGCAACCAGCCCAGAAATAGAAAAAGAGGGACAGACAGAGAGCCTGTGAATGGAAAGGAGGAATGCAGGGAGGCCATTACATTGACCTCAACCTACAGAAGCAAAGATACATATGACTTTCTAGTTAAGTGAAATTCTTCTCTGCATCAGTCAACAAATAACATAAGAGTTTTTCAGGAAGATTTATGAGCCAGTAATACTGGAGATAAGGATGAGCAAAGAGAACTTCCAGAAGCAGGCATGACAACTAGAAGATGCAACTCCAACAATAAACAGATATTATATATGAAACATCTTAATACTGTCCAAATCACTCTTGATTATATCCTGCTCTTGATGTCCAAGATTTTCTTGTCGTGATCTTCAGTTTAATATACTTCAGAGTGACAACTTTATCTCTGTGCTTGTGAAGGGGTAAGCACAGATTAGAGTTAAGGGTTGTATGTAAATTCATTATCATTTCAAAAAAGCGTCAAATTAAGTTCACAGTTGTATCCAGAGTGGCTAGTGATATGCAGAGAGAAATGCTGTCCTTATTCAAGATTGCTGTGCACGTACGGAACATATTCTTCCTTCCTGCCACTCCCCTGACAGAAAGAAACAAAATGCTAAGTTTCACAGACTGAATTGTTATTATCTGTTCCATTTCATGGGCAGCAGCAGAAATGGCTTTACAAATCTCCAAGTACTGTCCACACTCTGAAGACAACCAAAGAAGCACTGAATGCTACAGCACTTTTGTGAGGTTTGGTTGGGTTTGGTTTTTTTGGGTTTTTTTTGTTTAGAAAGCACAGAGACATCTAACCTGATGCAAACAATGAATTAGAAAGTCTGCAATGCTAGACCAGGCTTATATAAATCTATTCCAGCAGATATATAAAGGTTCTTTAAAACACATTTTCATCTTTCCCATTCCTCTCAAAATAATGCTGAAAGGCTAGTGAAATTAAATGACTTATTGCAATACATACTTTCACTGCAAGTTTAAAATCATTGCAAGATCTAGAGGGCACAAAATGCAAGTTTAGACTTTGGACGAATGAAGTGAGCTTGTTCAACAGCTGCATGATTTAAAGCTAAAGGAATTTGATTGCTTTAAATCACTCAGCCATTAAACAGGCTCCTTGTCTCATGTACTTTCCAAGCTGCAGGATGACCAGTGAAATACATTACATCAAAAACCAATTTTGCTAGTGGATTTTTACATCAGTCATGTGCTAGGAATGACAGATGTTGGACTTTCAGTTAACTTTAACCCGTTTAAGCTACATGAATTCAAATTGCAAAAAACCCTGGTATAACCAAACAGATTGCCAAGGGGTCACATTTCTTCATAGAGGTGGCATTTATACCAGAATGTTCTGCTTCCTTTAGTAGGTTTTTCCCAATTTTTCTTTTGGGAGGGTTTGGTTAAACCCTCCAATGCACCAAGAGCTAATACTTCACAGAGCTACTTAGCACAGGACAGTCTTTTTCTGGCAGTTGTGCAGTTACAGAAGCATATACCCAGTATGCCTTTTCACAAGCTACCCAGATACATTCTATCCTCATCCCAGATTTTGAAAACGTCTCCCATATTCGTAAGATCAGCAGCAAACATAACCTGCTTTCCTCCCAGTCTTTCCTTTTTGATAGTCACCAGAGAAGGACTGCAAGGAAGAAAGTTTCAATGCTTATGGTCTCCTCTCTATCCCTTCTGATAGAAATTCTTCCAGAACTTCTTCACTCATCATTTTGTCATCATAATCTGCAATAAAAGTTACCTTTGAAGAGTTCACAGCTAGACAGTGATTGTGCTCTATTAGTATTCATACCATTGCATTTACCAGACTAGCTTCATCTTACACCCTTCTTTGGGTCTTAGAAGCATTTCTTCAGAAGCACAAAGCATCTTTTTTAAAGTGATTCTTTCTCTTTGGGTAGAATTTCGCAACTGATTTACTCTGCGTTTAGACTGAGCATACCAATAATAACTGCTGCAGTAGAGCTCAGGCAAAACAGATGCTGCACCTTTTTTTTTCTGGATACTGTCACTAGACATAACTAAAATCACTCAAAACTGGAACATCTTCAGAAGCAAGTAGTATCTGCTCCTTCACAAAACAGAATACACTCCTGAATATGGAAGACAGTAAAGTTTCTTAAACACACTTTCCTTCACCAAAGGGTAACTTCTGTATTCACAACCCTTGCAAATCTGGCTTATTCTCCATCTGCTATCTCAGAGAAATGGCCCCAGCTGCTTGCAGCATGCTCTGTTTCTGAGCAAGTCTGCAGAGACTGTCAGCTTTTCACTGACAAAAAACAAGCCAGTTTTTCTCAGGTCACCCTCAAAAGTTGTTCTTTTTTTCTCCAGCTGGTCCATAAAAGCCTAAAATACCCCACTCTGGATAGAATCAACCTTTTTCAGTTTGTTTTTAACTCCTTTGAAGCTGCATGTCTAAGGCTGTCCTACCTGCATCATTGTTTTGCCTCTCCTACTCAGTACTTCTAACACCCTCTTAAAAGCTTCTTTGGCTTTAACTCCTCACAAGCAGCAATGAAGAATTCAAGAAGGAAACCAAATGGCCTAAGAGCCATAAAAAAAGAAAAACATTTTCCCAGTTTGTGTTATAGTAGTACTAGTTGGCAAAGTTATCCAGGACTTCATTTTTCCCCTTACTGAAGCAACTGAAGACTGCTGAAAAAATGTGACTAAATACACATGGCTGACTAGGATGGTTCTTTTTACCAGATGTCTGTCCCCTTCAGAAACTAAGTCAGGACAGTGAAAATGCTCTCAGCTTGTCTATGGCTTTGGGCCCAAAATGTAGTGGAAAGTACCATAGTACAGCTAGAGGGCTGGGGGGATTGAAAAGGAAGTAGAGGCAATACAGGGGAACACCATATTCCTTAAATAATTACCACTCACACCAGAGAGACCTGCCAAACCACAGGTGTGACAGACAGGCAAAGCATTGTGGGGAAGCTGGTACTCACACTGTCAAAGCTTTTATTTTTTATTTAAGGGACTGCATTTGCCAGTATAAGCAACATGTCATCAAATTAAAGGAAGACAGACACACAGAGTACAAGTGTGCATTTGTACATGTGTGTGCATGTGCAGATGTTCTCTATAAAGTTGCGTGTGCACCCATACAAAACTGACATGCTTTTGAACACAGAGGGAAATGAGATTACCAGGAAGAGATGACACAAAGATTGAAGAAGGTCTCTGGAGTGCCGCTGAGACCAGTTTCTTCTCTGTAATGTAAACTGCAGAATCTGCTTTCTCACTCGGTGCACTGGACACAGAGGGCCTGCAAAAAGACATACGGCACAGCATGAGGCACAGAACAGGAATTGCAGCCTGTCTTCGGAGGGTATGCAGAAAAGTTTCTTGTGTTGCTAGCCTCCAAGAGGTATCACCTGCAGAAGTGAACTCAGAGGCTAAAGTGAGGCGACAACTATGTAATTCTCCTTGTAACCACAGCAGCCAATAGTAAAGACTTTGGGAGCAGTAAACCCTGGAGAGAAGGAAGTATTTTTCAAGACAGAGTCACCATAAACCCAAGCAGTAAGCAAACCACTGCGTTCTTCCTGAGCTAAGTCACTAGACTCCATGCAAGATGGTACTCTATATTCTAGCTCTTCCCTGTAATTCCTCCACATAACCCTTAACTTTTACATGTCAGGGCTTCAGATTCATTTATATTAAGCGAGTGTACTAGCAGTCAGTTTGATAGCAACTATAACTTTCCCTGCCTCCCCCCAAAGAGTAATTATTTCACTTTACTTTTCCTCATGGCTATGGAAGAGAATACGCAACAGGATATGGGAAGACTACTGCTGCAACGAGAAACCCTTTTAGTTGCATACCCTTTGCATTTTCTCATGAGCAAGCTCTCCCTTGTCTTTGTCAGAACAATGACCTTGTTCTCCTTCTCTGCCAAGGAACCCACACTGAAATTCTATAAAATATGACCCCTCTCCTGTAATAAAAACAATTTTGCTACTGCACGTTGCAGAAATATATATTTTTCATTTACCTCTCCTCAAGCAGTACTGTACGTGCTAAGTGAGCCCTGAAAATGGACTGGATGAATGTCACAATCTCATCTTTCTCCTCACAATCAGAAGACAAGTGCAAGGAGTTTGACACAGGAGACATGCAGGACATCTGCAAAGCAATCAGATTAAAGAAAATTGACCTTTTACAGATTGCACAGAAGCTTGATGGAAGCTTTCACGATTTTACTCCTGATTGTGAAAGTGGTAGTGAGCAAATATTCCCATCTTTTGGTCTGCTGTCTGTAAGGTTCTATAAGACTAATACAAGCTCTGAAGCATCTGTATTCAATTAATGAAAGAGCAGACACCTGCAAGGGAAGTTCATTTATTTTCCAGGAAGGAAACCTTTTGAAGTCGAAGGAGGTAAGGCAGCCTTCATGATGGACTGCTTGTATCAAGCAGAAGTATTCAGTTCTATTACATTGGGCCAGTTTACTGAAATAAAAGTGCACGTAAAGTGCAACCAGATGGACAACCTGGATGGAGAATTACAAATTAACTTTAGCCTGCTAAAGGTCCAAAGGATGTTCACGTAAGTTGGCAAATGATTTATAGAAACTAAATGTTTAATTGGTAGGGAAATTTTTTCATATTTAGAACTGAGCAATCTGGGTGAATTTGACACGGCAGAGGACACTACAAGTCTTTGGTTGAGCATGCCACAGGCAGGACTCCTTTACTTTTCAATCCAAAGATGCTTTCCTAATTCTTATTTCTGAATTTCAGTGACAAAGGTTTGCCTATTACTACAAGGCTTCAGTGAACACTTGAGAGCAAGTACAGTTTTCAATAGCACTCCGAATTAAAGGGTACGTTATTAGCTGATGGGAGAACCAGAATAAAAGAGGAGACCTAGTTACAGTCCATAATGCAGAGAAGTTATAACTTTACTTCTAAGAAAAACTGTGAACTAAAGAAGATGGAAAGGGAAGCTAGGGAATGAGCTCGATATCTTTCTGGAATTACAGTGGTGCTGCCAACCAGTGCATTTAGACAACATCACCAGGTGATTCAGAGAATTAAGTCTGGAAGTACAGTACTTGACACAGTAAACTAAACATAATGGGATGCCTGGATACCCATTTACCCCAACAATTACCTTGTTGTGAGATTTTGCATCATGCATCCTGTTATTCACTAACAGTTTCTGTCGAGCTAAATGTCCTCTGAAAGCTGCCTGAAGCATAACAACTGCCTAGCACGGAAAGAAATAAGTATATGTTAGCTCCTTTGAAAGATGGCAGTTATAAATTAAAACAAGAGTCCAGAGGGAAGAGGCACATGGGGAAAATAACTTTTCCCTGTGCAATGGAAACTCTTTCATGTCTTGACATTTTCTTATGTTTATGGGATACGCACACATCCCCATTACTTCACAGGTACTCTGCTGCAATCCAGAGAATCCCCAGCGTGTAACAACCCATAGACATACACCTCCGCGGTTTAAATTCAACCTGGGAGGTGTTCACGATTGGTCCTATCAAATGCAGTTAAGTTCTAGCTGCCAACACTAGCCTATATTTCACAAATAGAGCAACATGCTCCCATTCCCATATTAGATTCTGGCTGCTTAGCGGGCTCTGTGGTGCTCTGGTACAATCAGAAATCAAGCCAAGTCTGGCAGACCACTGTGGTGACTTCGGGGAACATAAGTCTTTCCTCTCTACTCAGAGATTTTACTGGTTTCTAATCAACAAAAAGCATCTAGATGTAAAACAGCATGTTTGCGTCACGTGATTAGAATTTGTTCTAATTTCTGAAAGCAGGATTTTTAATGTTCTGGAAGAAACAAATGTAAGATGCTACATTGTGCTATTTGAGAAAACGTTTAATCAAAATCTTTGTGCAAAACATTTATCAAAAAGTGACAAGTTTGTCAAAGTAAATTTCTTCATAATAGTTGGAGATGTTTTTCCCTTAGAAAAGGCTTCAAATTCCTACTTCAAATCCTTCTGAAGATTCATCATAGTGAAAATGAAAGCATTATTAGAATTACCTAATATAGAAAAAAAATTTCCTGTCTGCTTGTATCAGATTTTGTTCAAAATTTTCAGAAGTGTTCATCTTGCAGAAGGTACCAAGTACAGAAAATTTGAAACCAAAAGGGGAACACTTTGACAAGATATATCAAACAAAAGTGGGATGTCAGAAGGCAGATCGTGAGCCAGCCTGAAGAACAAACATAATCTTGGTACATATTACAATAATGATCTTGGTTCATATTACAATAAAACCTCTTTAAACATAAAAAAGTTTTTTGTTTGTGCTTTGATACAAATTATATCCATTTTACTGTTTTGTTGGGTGTCATAAAACACACTCACCTCATCCAGAGCAATTTCTTCTTTCTGAAATGAAAAATGCCTAAGTTAATGCCACAAATATATACAAGTTTTATCTAATCAAGATTTTTCAGATTTTCCCCAACAATTAAAACACACAGAAAATACCTGTCCCACCTCCCCCTGAAAACTCAAACAACAAGCTTAAGGGGGGTGGGGTGGGGGGGTGGGAAGAGCTTTTAATCTTTGAAAGATGTGTGGATAGTTCTTTTGTCTTTAGTTTCCTAAGAAGAAATTACAAGGCCCACATCACACCATATGTCCTATACATGGAAAAAGCAGCATTATATTGTTGCCCATAGAACAAAAATTTAAGGTTAACACTTTTTTTCTAGATCATTTTGTCCTAGTTGAGTGTAACTCAATACACAAAAATTCCTGTATTGTTTGGAGGATTTCTGCACGGGGAATTTAACTTCTCAGTCATACTCCAAGGAGGCAACAGCAGCAGCACTGCTTCAAGCACTGCTATGCTTCCTTAGTTTCTCTGCTCAGCCAGACTCCCCCATTCAGAAACTGGCTATCTCGCAGCAGAAACAACAGGGTACTAGGGAGCAAAGGAAAAGAAGCAGCAGAGAAGTCTTCAAAAAAGCGGTGGAAGAGAAGATACATACTGGGAAGCACTGCTGCAGTTCCTGGAGCCCAGCAGCAGGTTACTGTAGATGCTAAAACAAGAGTAAGATTCAGAGGAGGATGCCCTCACTGCTCTGTCATGGGAGAATCTCACCTTGTTTTGGTACACCTTCCACTGTCTCTGGATGATTTTGGCTGCTTGTTCCTTCCTGTCATCGTCTTTGCCTTTAACTGTGAAGACTGGTGAAGACTGCAAGGGAGAATCTTTAACTTAATACACTAAAGACACAAGTTGGAATTCTGTGGGGGGAAACAGGTTACAAATGACTCAAAAATCAACATCAGAGTTGTTAAATGTTCATCCTGCCTTCAGGGTGGAAGGAAGTTAAAGAGAAAACTCTTAGTTCTGAATATTGCTCATGTTCAAACTAATTATCTAGATGACTGTTACAGTGAAACACATTCCTGTCCCCATTTTAGCTGTTAGCAGAGCATGGGAATGGAAAGGTTTTCATTTACACATATTCCTATTTTTCTATGCATTGCTAAAGCAATAAGAGCTCCAACAGTGGAACCCACTGCTTTGTTGATCAGAAATTGTTTGTATGTTATCGACACACTGAGAACAAATGTCAGGATACCTAATTTTGCAGTTCTTCTCCAGGAAAGACTAGTATTAATTAACCAGGGAGCTCTCTAATGTCTCATCCTGGCAACTGTGGCCCCATAATCATCTCTTTAAGCTTACTGATGAGCTGGCCATCATATGACACTGACAAGATGGAGAGCTTGTGTAAATTGGCATAACTCTACTCTTCTATCTTGAAGAAATTAATTACAGGAAAAAGAAACCAAGAACAAAGCAAGATTTTGTTCCAGTTATTTCTTCTGAGGTGTGGTTGCCTATTCCACCTCTCACCATCTGATCCTTTTGATCCCTAATTATCCCATACTAATTGTCATACCTCACTTGCCAAACAAAAGTTAACTGCAATTTTAAAAGACTAATTTAATTTGTTGGTGTAAAATTTTAAGTAGAGGAACAAGAGATTTTATAGACTCTGAAAAAAACTCTTGATTATGTGAAAAGGATTTATTTATAACTTTAAAACACTGAGTTACAGGCTTAAGTTTAGCAAATGGATCATGTTATATTAAAAATGACAACCTACTATTAAAATGAAAAATTGGTAGGAACTTCGTGATAATTACAAATAATGGGAACATTTCAATAAATGGATGGTTACTGGCCAAGAATATATATAGTCTGCAGAGGAAAAAAGGAGCTGTTTATTGGCTCTTTTTAAAGACTCAAGTTATTTGGTATTCAAAACATCATCTAGCATCCATCAGTCTATAACACACAAAAAAAGAATCTAAAGAATTTCACAGTATATCAGAAACTAGCAGCCTCTTAAGCTAGTGGACATTTTTATTCATATTTTTACTACCTATATTTCAGGGTCTATTTATCTTTAAGTACAAATGATCAAAATCCCCAGTAATAATTTTCAACTAGTTTTTAGTGAAATGAGATTAACATGACTACACTGCATCTGAAAGCATGTCTGTCAGTGCCCATTCATCTCTACTGGCCAGTTACAACAACATTTGGCAGAGGGACAGAAGATTGCAAAGATACCAAGTTCAGTCATATCTCACAAAAAAAAACCCCAACTGATTACAGAGCCCCATTTCAGACTGTCCAGCGTTAACAGATGCACAATTATACCTATTAGATACTGGAAAAATCCACAAAGAAGAGGTCATTAATACCTCAACTCTAGAAAAACTTCAATTCAATGGGTATAAGGGTTTATTTTATTGTATTGACATCTTCCCTAATTCTTTACTCAAATATGGTGTCCCATCAGCAGTGGAATTAAAAAAAACCCTCAGTTTTCATGATGATTAGTGCCCTACATCTTGTAGACCTTCCCATGAAAAAGTACCCCACCTCCATCCAAAGTCAACAGTTAATGAATATTTTCTGGCTGGACAGCACATGTGCCCTAATTGATCACCTGACCAGCACAGAAATCATTGAAAAGGGGTTTTTGTCTTTTGCTAGTCTGCCAGTAAGCACACTCACCTAACTGTCAACTCCTACAAGAACTTCCTCTCTCTACAAAATTGGACTGAAATTAGCTAATGGGTTCAGATGTTATACGAAGATGTAAGCAAAACCACAAATGTTTTGCGTTTTTTTTTTTTCTTTCAAAAGTAAGACAAAAAACCCAAGCACTTAAAAGTATAAGCTTTTTGCAACATTCCACTGAATAAGAAAAAAGCGATGGTGGGGCAGATAATCACTAAGAGAACAGCTCCAAAAAAACCCCAAGTTGCAGCAGTAATTATTGAAACAACTTATCAGTAAACGCTGGGAATTAACCATCATTCAGAATCTCTATGACAAGATTTAATGCCTCTCTGCAAAAACACAACTAGCAGCTATTTAGGTTATCAGCTCAATTTGCAACATATTCGTTAGATGCAAGGGAAAAAAACCCCACACAAACAAAAACATATATCTGTACCTTATTAAGATTTTCCATTGTATCTTCTGCCATTTGTCTCTTCTCTTCCTCCATTTTTGACTCCAATTTCCCTACTTTCTGTGTCAGGTTCTGGATTTCCTCACTATGGTTGGAAAAGCAAAGATATTTATAGCTAGAAATTTTCTGTTGTTCCTGCTTTGAAAATACTGAACCTATTTCATATGATTTGGTTGCTTCGTGTTTTTTTAAAGGCCAAAGTGGGAAACTGCCAAGGGTAACATGATACGTATTCTTATAGTAACAGATATGTACCATCAGTTCTCAAGTTGCGATAGCACAGCCTTATGTTAAAATTAAAAAAAAAAAACAAACAAAAAACCCAAACACAAAACACTCCCAAGGTTACAATGGTACCCTTGGTACTATTAATAACGCATCTAGATCTGATGACTGACAAATATGAAATTGTAGCAAAGTCCTTCCTTACAAAGCAATAATGAAATAACTTTTTTTTGCCACCCTTGCATAGGATTATTATCAACAGTTACACAGAATACATGAAGTAAATGGAATGACATATTGGCAATGGTCTAGAAGCATAGGCTAAGGTACGGTAAAGATACTACAGTTTTTTCTTAGAAAGGAAAACATGTCTCTGAGCCCAACATGGCAGCTTTCTTTTTCCATTTATCTTATAAATTTTTATTATAATTTAATTCTTATTTTTACTATACTTCTTAGTCTTCCACTTCCTTTAAAACCACTCTATAGAATTCTTCCTCTAGTAACTTAATCTATCCCTCCAAAACAGTTCTGCTCAAATGAATTCCCAGCTTCCTGCAGTTCAGGTGAACTCCTATGGATTTTGAGCCACTTTAGAAGAGAATTATACTTTAACAGAGTTTTTTTTTTTTGTTCTGAAAGGATCTACTAATACAAAATATGATACCTTAAAGCCTGCTCTTCTGTACTCTTTTCTTCCATCTTATTCTGCCACTTCTGCAGCTGAAGCTCCACTTCAGCCTTAGCCTGCAGTAACTGCTTGATATCTAATCTACAAAGGTATAAAGAAATCTAAGCAATACTTAAGACATTCATACTTCAACAAAGTAGTTATTTTTTGTTTGAACTTCTAAATAAAATAGGTTCTCAAATTTGTAAAGTAGCTAAATGTTTACCTTCTCCTTTTAAAACAGAACAAAACGCAAGCATACATTTTTCAGAAGCAAAAGGCCTCTCTGCGTGCTCTCGCTACACATTTTTGTTCAGAGGCGACTTGACGCAGGAGGCAGAGTGTCTCACCAACAATACATAGTTGTGTGTACATCTCTGCTCACGATCAGATTAACCTGCCTGCCCTTATGCACTGACACACCAAACAAGTCCAAGTAATACAAATTGCAAATCAATTGCTTACTGGGGAGAAAAGAAGTCACAGTGCATCATATGGCAGAAGGCAGGCTCAAATGGAGAAAGTGGTAGACCAGGACAAAACATGTTGAAAAAACAAGACTAATTTTTACAACAAAATACTTGCAAGAAGTGCTGTGTAAGTTGCATATAACCCTTCAAAGGCTTTTCAGTGTGGTTGGCACAAAAATGTGCCTTGAAAAATGTGTTAGAAACAAGCAGAAATTCTCATTTTCCATCCTCTCACTGACTTTTTTTTCTGCGATGTAATTTTACAACACTAGTAGGACTAGAAGAAGCTTTTGAAATAAAAGCTGAAGGGACCCTCAAAACTCGTTTTCTTGCTGAAAATGTGAAGGACTTATTACATGGTTTCATAACATCATAGGAAATAATTAAAAAATTCACACCAACAAAAGAACAACATCTCAGACAAGAGTCAGACTTACTCTTTATTGAGTAGGAGATTTTGAAGTGCCTTCCTATCACTCCTCAGTTTCTTCACTAGCCCTTGGAGGTGACGACATTCCTCAACATGGTCTACCTGTTGAGAGGCTGGATGATCCAGGTCTACAGAAGGTGAAGATGACACAGCCAGTAACTGGGATGACTCGGTATCTGCTGATGACACCCTGGTGTTCTCCATGGCACATACTTTCTAGACAGGATAAATTTACACAAAAAATACAAAAGAAAAAAAAAGAAGAAAATTAAATTTAGCATAAAATGATTTTATTCAGGCCATGAGAAAAGATCAAATGGAAGTTAATTCTAAAATGTGCATCTATATGTAACAAGTATCAGAACAGAAACAAGGGAGGAAAGGCATATGGTACAGACATCAGTTTACATGTATGAGCCAGAATGCACAAGGCTGGTACATTGAAGACCTACATGCCATGAGCACAAGCCAGTGGTTCTGCGTTTTCTGCTCAAAGACAGGTAAGATGGCCACATGATTATGATCACTTACTTTTTCTAGTTCCAAAATCCGCCTCACCAGCCTCTGTCTGCTCCACTCACTATAATCTAAATACAATAACAAAGCTTTAAACATGAAACTGTATCAGTGAGACAACACTGTTCTTGCTTTTTGAAACCTCTGTCCATATAGAAAGATTATCTAAAGACCTCTGAACCCCAACTTTAAATATGCAGCAATGAAAACATGAGAATGGTCTTAAAATATCTGACTTCTACACCAATTAGCTCAGAAATCAATGTAAACCATTCACATTCATCAGTTTTCAACAACTGAAAAACAGTTTTCCAGTGAAACGTTAAATCTTCAAGCGATTCCAGTCCAGAATTCTCAGGGATAATAATAAAGGAAACCCAGGTCTGACTGCAGCAGCATACCCAGAAGTCAGAGAGAGACTCCTGTTAGAAACTTCTCATTCCAACCTTTGCCCCTCCTAAATCTTCATCTTTGTAAACTCCCTTATTTCTACCATTATAAGATCCTGCTCTCAAACACATCTTTCAAATGTAGCTAAATCCCTTGCCCCATGTTCACCAACTTTTCAGCACGTACTTTTTGTTTTAGCGGAAGGAGGAGAACTGCTCAGTACATGATCTAGATCTTCTTTCAGCCTCCGATTCTCATTCTGCAACTCCTTGATGTTCCTGGATAATCTCAGGACAGCAGCATTCAATGCCTTTAGTCGTTTTTGGGTATCTCTGCCCTCTGTACTTGGAAACAGGGTCAAAACCAGAAAGTTAACTTCAAAGCAGAGAACAAAGAAGCAGCATTTAAAAGGGTGGAATATCCTCACTATTCAAGTCAGCTGGCTAAGTGAACTGTCTCAGCTCCCCCCCAATAGCATTTCTCAACATTTTTTACCTGAGGAGTTACCTACTCTTTTAGGAAAAAACATGCAAAGACCATCTTGCTCAACACTTTCACAGCTGCTTTAATTTGCCTCAAAGAAGGAAGATACTTTGAAAGTTCATTTATTGCTTTTACTTCCTCCCTCTGTTTCATTAACACATAAACAAGGGTGCTCGTATGAGTTTTGCTTACTTAGTTTTCTATTTGTTTTGTTAACCAACCTTATAATGCTTTACCAGCGCTCTATGGACCACTGATTTAAAAACACTTCAGCCAGTTGGGAGACTCCTCCAAAAAACTATTCAGCACAGAAAGCTAACTTGCATGCTCTGAATTGCTTTCTTTCACCTAACAAACAGATTGAGACTGGGAGAGAGAGAGGGCTATGCATAGATGGAATAACTCTCAAACAAATCCAACACACAAGTGAATTTTCAGATAACTGTGAATGCTGCTCTAATATCAAAGAAACTATTGCTGTGAAAGTAAACCCCAGAGAAATTTCTTTCTTCATTTAAGATACATTTCAATCAATGAGAGATTTGAAACAGATTTGAAGAATACAGTTAACACCGATGTGATGGGAATAAAAGGCATTGGAAAAGGGAAAGCCTGCTATGTGTTAAAACCATTTTAAGTATACTACAGTGATTTTGCCGTTTTTAATAAAAGAGGGAAGAAATCTCAGCTTCTAGATGCGCGAAGTTGTAAAGTTTGTTCACAAAACAGATTTCTAGTGATATGAAATACTTGTTCTTTATTGCTATGAGAAAATTCTTAAAAACTTACTTCTAGAAACAAATGTCTGAAGTAACTGATGGACCTACTTTTGGACAAACGTCACTGCCAATGACAACCACAGAACAGTTTGCGAAGGAATCTTACATCCCATCCACTGGAACAATTACAAGGTAAAGGGGGAGACAGTCTACAATTAGCGTATCAGAGTGAAAAGCTGAATCTAATCTACCTTTTGGAAACTAAAAGAAAATGAAGCCATAAAAAACAAACAAATAAGGCTGTCCAGATGTCATGGATGACTATTCATGCAGCTGCCCCAGGCAGGAGGAAAAAAAAAGTAAAAACCAAAATCAGAACACACTGCCAAAAATGGGAAGTGACAAAAATTATAGAAATCATAACCGTATCACTGAGTGCCATTATTTTAGGCTCATCAAAACCTAAATGAAAGAATTGCAGACCATTTTGAGGACTTGAAATGTTGCCTCGTTTCTAGCTACAATTGGATACTACAGCTTCACATATAAGTAATCATATTTCACCATTAACGCTGAAAAAGAGGAGCTAAATGCCAGTGAATGAAGTGAACTTCATCCAGAAATAATGTAGACAAGCATAATGAAAGAAAGACTCTCCTACAACTCTTCCTATGTTCCAGAGTCGTGACCTTCAACATCATTTATTATTTCAGCGCTCAGCCTCTCAGGTAGAGACTGACAGTGATGTAATGGAAAGAGACTGCCCTGACCACTGTTTTTTGATGCTATGAATAAATGAGGACAAGGAAGAGACCTGACGACTCATTTTCACCTGTAAATAAATAGGGTGTGACGGCTCACAGCCTAGAGAGTCTAGTCACTACATGCCTGAGCCAAAAGAGAAGAACATTTTTTTAAAACAGTGACAAAACAAATTGGAGACGGTGACAAAACCACAAGAGACGGTGAATTAGGGAAACACAAGTAGTATACACAATGACCCATAAAGAGTTCTCATATGTTTCTATCAATCAAAATAATTACATCCAAAATTAAGATAGCTGCCTGCATTTAACACTAGGAGGGCAAGCATATTGTGAAGTGGTGTGGTAACAAAATTTTCTATCCCTCAAGACTATTACCCTCTTCTCAGCTTGACTAACGCTCACTTGCAAAGATGTTTTTACTTCTCTCTCTTACTGGAGGTTTGTCTTTTGCCTTTCATTTTTATTTCCTCTGCAGACTATTTACCCTCATCACCACGTATACACCCGCACACTAGTGACAAGCACTAGTACAAGCTTCTCTGACAGTGTCTTACTAGTGCCACTCCTGGATATCTCACAAAAGCTATCCTGACCTGCACATCTGTCTCTCTGTACCACAGGAAAATAACATTTACTCCAAAATACCTTCTTCGCACTGTACGCCCTAGAGCAAGATGGAGAACTGACTCAAGAGTAAAATGCCAAACATCTAGTGAGTTTGTTTCAATCACCAGTGATGTCAGAATAGGTGTGATTACAGGGGAAGATGGATTTTATTTAACAGAGACAAATTTTCAGAGCTTTCATGTACTTCTTAAATAGCTCTAGTATTTTTTCCACATCCACAAAATGATCTATCTACAAGAAAAAAAAGTAGTGACTAAAACATATGCCAAGGCTGTGAAGCCAAGTAAAGCAGTACCAAAAAGTAAATCCAGTAAGCTAAATGACAAAATAAACTGTTCCCATGTAGTTGTTTGCCATCAGCTATAGTATGAGTGATATATCAAACATGTATATGCAAATATTTGCCCCAAAAGAATTAAACATACTTTTTCCTCATAGTCTCAGATTTTGCCAGGAGGAGTTGGAGACGATGAACCTGCGAAATATGAAATACAGATTCCATTAAGGAGCTAGCTGTGGAAGCTGACATTGCTAATGCAACACATTTGTCCAATAGGTGAAAATCAGAACAAGACTCTTCAGGTAGTAGCAGAGGCAATGATGCCATCACTGAAAATCAGGCTACTGTTATACTGGCTTTCATCTAGACACTTATGGATGCGTATCAGTTTCTTTATTTCTGCTTTTTGGTTAACACACTCACATTATTGAAGAAAAAAGGTTTTTCAGTACATATATTTGGAGCTATGAGAATATCTATGAAAATCTCATTCCAATAACAGGTGCAGCTAAGCTGCAAGAAACTTAACTAAATCAATCCATTTATACCGACTCAACAACTGAACAACTTCCTCTCCTGTATGCACATTGAAGGGCCTGTCAGACGTACCTCTTCATAGTAGGTTTCCATAGCCATCCTCATTTCTTCCAAATTAGTGGTCTTCATGTCTGCCTGGAATTTGCTGAAAACAGAATAATACAAAAAATAATTCAGTCAGACCGGCAAAGATGTTGCAATACCTGTTGGTTTACAATTCTGGGTGGGTGGTTTATAATTGCTAGTAAGTTCTCAGAGTTCATTAAAAAGTCTTAAGGAACAGAAGAATACAGATGAAAAATAACATGGATTTGAAACTCCCTTTATTATCTCATCCAATATGAGCCTCTACCCCCCTGAAGTCATACTTAATAGTGTTGTCTTTCTCCTTGCACTGTTGTTCTAGCTTGAGAATCTTCTGCTTTAATCCACTAACCACCTACAAGAAGAACAAAGAGCTCATGAGTCCTAAAATAACCCGTCTCTTCACAGAAGTTCCACTTCTCCCTGATCTTGCTCTGTCTTTGTAAATTGTACCTAACCAGATATACCTATTCCTACACACTTCAGTACTTAGTAAATCATACACGTCTGCTACACTGTGACAAAGAGAAGACTAACAAAATCAGATCCCTAACTTATATCTGTGGTAACATAACCAGCTTAATATTTATACATAATCATTAAATAAAAACAACTCTGCCCATTACCCTGCTAAATTCAAAGCAGCAAATAATAAGGAGAATATGCTCTAAACAGATTCAAGACAAAGAATGCTCCCTAAAATAATGTTAATTCCAGATCTGTTACTGGTTTCTTATCTCACTATAGAAATAATGGTTATATGATTCCCTAATTGCTTATTCTTTCTTACTTAATTTTATTCTTTTAGTCAGTAGTGTTTCAGCTTGGCAAGAGGAAAAAAAGAACAATGAAAGCAAAAGGTAATGAAGAAACTACTACCCATCCATTATCAGCCTTCTTTTCCAACAAAGCTCGTGCCAGGTCGGAGCCCTGCAGAAGAAGACAGATAAAGCAAGTGACCAACCTTGCTACTTTATTCTACTGCCAGCTCTTTCCAGAGAATTTTCTAACCGACTCATCTCCACAGTCATTTCACAGTCCAACAGCTTAAATCCTGAAGTCCGTATGCTCATTGTTTTGCATTAGCACACTTCTCCCGAGATGTACATCTGCACACAAAAAATGACAGCCACAAGGAACGCAGTGAAATTCAGGTCTTCTATCTATTACCCTAAATGCTTCTCAGCCTCCTGGGTCTGACAACAAGGCGCATCTTTTGATTCCTGGTTCAGGTCTCGGGAACGCATGTGTCAGTCACCATGCAAGAGGTGAACTCCTACTCTCAGGCAAAATATTCAGAAAGTGGGCCTCTAAAGAGACAGCATTTTAATTTTACCTTCAGAAATTAAAAATCTCTCTGCTAAATAAACTTATCTGCACAGTATGGCAGGTAAGCTTCCTTCCTTTGAACTGAGCTGAAATGGTGAGCTGAGATACTCTATCCCTTCACACCAACCAACCACATCTCATATTCAAGCTCATCATTCCTAGCAGCCAACACACTACAGAGTCCTGAAATCTAGAGAGACAAGGAGAAGAGGATTGCGCTGCTCAGCACTCTTTTGCCCCACTTTTATCCCCCCAAGAAATAGTCACCCTGGAAGGATCCAACAGTTGCTCAATCTGTTTATCCTTTCTATTGTTCTCTTCTTCTAGTCGACGAAGCTTAGTTTTCATTCTATCTCCCTCATTTTTCTGAGCTTGTATTGTCTAAAAGAGGGGAGAAAAATTGTAAGCACATTTTAGAAATAGAAACACACTGAGTTTTCACATGGAAACATGTTTTGATGTCAATAACAATCCAATTATGACGGTCAGGATGAAGCAAAAGGAAACAAAAAGACCATCACACTGGACCAGAGCTGACAGATAAGGAAGGTGACAGGGCAAAGATAAAATGAAAAGGTTTAACAGAAAGGCAACCTTGCACAAATGATCTACAACAGTCAAGATATTTGTCTATAGGTATCTCCAGTGTTCAACATGACCAGTCCTCATCTTTCATACACTGCGCTAAACTCAACTGACAAATTGTTAACATGTGATGGGTAACAGCCGGGGGGAGTTGAATAAAAGGAGGTGGAGGGACAAAGAAACCAAATGCAATGAACCTTTTCAGCGTCCAGCTAGGGCCATGGCTGGGGTTCAGGACTGGGTATACTTCAAGGCTTCCACATCCAGTACTCAGAAGTATCTATCACACCGTAAGAACAATGAAATTGCCTTAAACAGACACAAGTTTAGTTTAGCCTTACATTACAAATGCTAGAAAATTTGGTGGATGTCCCAGCTGTAGACACCAAAGTATTCTGAAGCAACAGGGCCTGGACATCTATAGGTGGATGGAGCGACCCTATGATTTCTATGTAAGTATCAGAGAGACTGTACCTTTTTCAATTCTATAATTTCATCATACATATCTTCTTTTTCTTTGTAGTCAGGAGTTCCAGGAACGTAGCCTACAGAAAAAGGTACGTAAAATAAGCAGATTTGAAAGAGGTATTTTTAACTAACCAGAAACCTTACAGTTAAAAGAAAATATCTAGAACAGCAGCAAACTGGAAACTAGACTTTTTTTTTTTTTTAAGAAGAAAAATCAGCAAGGAAATTAATTTTAAAAATGGAGGTGAAATGGAGATGTTACTGTATGAAACTTCTGCCTAAATTTCTCCTAATCACTTCTCTTCTCTCTGGTGCTAGATTAAAATATCCATCTCAAGAAAGATATACACTTCACAGAAGACTGCAGTCTTCTCATCCCAACAAATCAATTATGTACAAAAGATTTCTAAAAGATGTCCAGAATACGTTTCTATTTATGCCTAACGTGTAAAAGTCTATCGTCTTTTAAAGTTGCCAGAAACTGTGTATTACCAGTAACAGTACAGGTGTCATTTTAAATAGAAGTGGGATTTTTAAATTTACAGTTCTCCTTTAAGAAAAGCAGGACAAAAGTTTTAAATTTTGCTCTTCTCATAAAATTCAATTGATTTTTATATCACAACCACATGATAAAACACTTTCTAGAGAAGAAGTAAAAGGAGTCAATTACATAGAATTTCAGGCAAGCAGATGGTTTCTATCAATGGTTCCTAAACTATGTTTTGCAAAGTCACAATAAATTGTCTACAGCTGGCCCATTGAACCGTATTATATTTGCAACGTTTTCAGCTGCAAATGCATGGCAATTTGCAAAAAGTTCTGAAAGCTAATAGTGATTCATTGCTCAAAAAAATTTGGAACCCCCTGTCTTATCCAATTTAGAAATCTCAAAAAGTATCTCATGGATCATATTTTGACACATATATTTTAATACAGGCTAAACTGAAATGGCTCTTGCTTTACTAACGCTAAGATCTTAAGCAATGTGTGTTTTTACACAGAAAAAAGATCATTAACTTTTATCTACCACACCATTACATAGTTTACCATTACTAGAAGAACGAGAATGCTTTGGCTTCTTCATTCCTAGAGCTTCCTTCAAATATTCTGGAGTGCTACTAGAAACGTTAGTTCGCATATGCCTCATGTCAACATCTGATTTCAGAGGATGGCTCATTCCTGCCAATAAAAATGGAACAAAAATGCAAAAATCAGGGATAATTGTGAATTAAATTTGTGGATTTATTCTGTACAAATGCAACATAGAAAGCTCCAGAGATGCTGTTAATTATTCCCTCTATAAATTCCAATGCTCAAGATCAGATAATTCCAACCACCCAAATAAATAACAGTGAAATGACTTCCTATGTAGCCTATAATCAAATACAAATCTATTTTTTAAGAGTTTATATGTTAAGCTGTCCACAACACTGAATTTTATCCATATATGCAGATGAAGTTTCTATACTAATACCTTGTTTCTGTGATCTCAGCCACATCTGCCTTGGGTTTTTTACAGCTGCACTCTCGAGACGTGCACTGCATGTTCCCTGCAGAGATCGCCAAACTGCAGCTTTTTTAGGATACAGTTGTGTGCTAGAGCTGTATGGAGACTCTATAGCAAAAGAAAATATCTCAGCGTTGCATTAAAAAGCTCAAGGTCACAAAAATTCTTTCTGTCTTATGCTTCAAGGTTCCCAGGCACAGTCCTATTACTTATAAAAATAGAATTTAACAGCATACTACATACTGGCTTATACGGAGCAATTGGACATTCACCTAAAAAAAAAAAAATCACAATAAAGAAAAAATCCAATTCCAAAAAATGAAGAGGCTTAGAAAGAGGCATAGTGACAATAATATGACTTAACGTATGTAGAAATATTTACATGTACAGTTTGGATAGGCATCCTTAAGATACCTGCATGTCTAAATTCATACATAAAATTGACCTTTCAATGAATATATACACAAATATCCTATCAATGAGAAAAATATGCGTGGCTAAACAGACAGAAGTAACTCTATAGCTACTAACCCACTAGCAATTTTCTTGCAGTAATCTAAGAACAGAATTGGTCCAATGCAACTGCTGGGGAGGCCCTCACATTACTACTTCAGGTACGGTGGTCAGGTTCAAATACTGACACTAATTCCACTTCAAATTATTAATATAGATGTGCAGTATATGGACTAACTAGTTAGTCTTCAAATTACCAAGAGAAGTACATACAGTAGGAAGCAATGTCACAAACATCATAGCTGAAATTAAACAGCTATTTTAAATTCCATCATTTAGGCAAGGAAAGGGATTTCAGGAAAAGAAAGAAGACAGATGTACATCTACCAGAAGAGCATGCCTCTTCGTCAACCTAAAGCAAAATTTAAAAGTACATTATTTTGTTCTGTTTCTAATAAATTAAATAACAGCAAAGTCTTCTTTGAAACATTCACTGGAATTATAAAAAGGAAAGAAAATGGAAAAGTATAGCAAGAAACATAAACCCCAGGAAAAAAAGGACAAAAATCCACATTAAAACTGCAGATCTAATAGTAGCATTGTACTTCTAAGGTCACGTGGGAAAGAAAACCCAGAAATGAAACAGAGAACTGCTTAATCTACAAACATAGATATCTACTGGATGGTAGGTAGCTCCAGTAGTTCTAGATTCTTTCTACACAGCAAGTATCAGCATTTCTCCCACAAGACAAAGAGAAAAAGAAATTCAGAGTGCTTGCCATTAGAAGGGATAACATGAGAAGAAAGTAGTTCGTGCTGGAAAAATCAAGAATTACAACTACTCCATAAACTTCAATATTTAGCCTATAAAAGTCTAACTTCACAGGTTGCAGAACAAATCTCATAGGTGTGCTCTGTACACACCAGTGAATAATTCTAAAGAGAATAATAAGATGTTGTTTCAAGTAAATCTTCCAGTTCCTGTGTCCCACAAACTGAAACAAAAGAAAAAATCGTGGAACACTACTTACTTGGTGACTTTGGAGGCTTGTGAAAAATTTTCTTCTTTAACTTCTAGAAGAGAAAAAAAATTTTTTATGTATTTAAAATATTCCACTCTTCAAAGATTTCAGCATATAATCTCAAAATTGGCTTCAATCTCCATTTTGTATGAAGATCATTTGTTCTAACACAAAATCTTCTGTGTAGAAAAGAAAAATAGTAGTATTAAGTATATGCAGATTTGGCCACAGCAACCATCACTAGAATTAAGGTGGTGCCCACAGAAGTTTTATGCTACAGATAAAAAGTAGGCTGTTCATGCTCAGAACACTAAGACCTTCCCCATCAGTATTAAATACGAGTAGCAGCAAGTTCAAGATGATCACAGAGTAGAGGCTGATCCGTAGAACCATTTAGCTAAAGGAAAGACTTAAGTCAATTCCATTAACACTCTGTAAAAGGATTACTTAGGCCCATAACTTGATAGAACAGCAAAATGAAACCAAACATCATTTGCAGCCCCCAGTGCCGAGAATTTAGAAGCCAGAATTACATCTGGAATTAGGGGAGGCTTTTGAATCAAACTATGTTGCAATAACATTGTTAGCTCTCCTCTCTGAGGGGTGTCTCATCGACCAGGAGGCATCATGCAGCGATAGTGTGTGCAAGAACATCCTGAGAGGCCTTTTAAGGCATTCATCCACAGTGCGCCGTTAATAAAACTCACCGTTTCTGTATCTGATTCACAGGTTATCACAGACAGGCTATCATCTCCCTGGGAAACAGAGACATTAACTGTGACATTTGCTGCTAAGTTATTGGTTATAATACACGTCCAGAAAACTTTATATCCTGTTACTATCACAATAAAGTTTGAGCACAATACATTCAAACGGTAAGTGTGTCACCACCGTTGCAAAAACCAGCATAATTTGCTCAAATATTCTGTGGGATGTAGTGCAAGTCACTTCAGACTCCACCCATAGAGACTTATACATTTCAGTGCATCACAACAGCTGAACCTTCAGGTGCCAGTTCTGCATTAATTTCTCCACCAGTAAGAGTTAAGCAGCAACTCATCCGTCTGTTCCCTTCCTCACTCACTTGTTCCTACCCTTGCTATGCTATAGGAACGTTCACTAAACTCTACCGGACAAGTGATCAGGCTGAGGAAAAAATCCCAAACCAAGGAATCAAAAAAGCGGTTAATTTTTCCTCAGATTGAGCTGACAAGTTTCCCTGTTTCTCAAATGTGAGCATATCCACAGCAGAAGGAAAATTTCCACTTTGCTTTCAAATCATCTGAATGTATGCTGCCCTCACAGAAAGAACAATTTCACTTGCTGCTGACTCCATGGTGCTCCCAGCTGCAGCACCATTCTTTGGACAGATGCTGGCCTATCTCTGTAAGAGGCAGAGCGGGGTGAAGTATTTTTGAGAATCCTGGTTGACAGAAGAGGAGCTGGGATTGACAACAACAGAGCAAGTAAAACAGCTTTTTGTGCTGGTTGAGAGCAAGCAGATATACACCTCACACACCATACTATATAGTCTTTAATTTCCTGAGGCAATGCTCCTCGCAGCACACTGATTATATTTGTTAATTTTAGGGCCTTTTTATCAGTCTGGGAGATCTCTCTACCTAACTGCTGCTATCGCATTAGAAATTGGAGAATGCTGAAGGCACCCAGCCTTGATAGGAGATGGTAAACAACAAAACATTCACCAGCGTATAAACGTGCAATGACAAAAACACCCCAGTCCTTGGAAAACTTCACAGTCCCTTTGCTCTTGCAAAAGAGGCCCAAGAAGAGTCGCCTACGACAGACAACAGAACATGGTGGCTCCCAGCAAAGGGCCTCAAAACCTCCGTCTGGCTGCCGAGGGCGACGGAAACGAGCACTGACACCCCCCACCGTGCTACCGGCCAGCCCAGGAGACGCAGGCAGAACCCAGAACCCGCGGGCTGAAGACGGACCGAGGCCGCCCTCCTCCCTCTCCTAGCCATCACCTCGCCGGCCTGGCGAGCCTGAGCGGGCTCCAGGCTTTGCCCCGGCCCCGCGGGCAGGCGGGAGCGTTTGCCAGGCCGAGGCCGAGGCCGGGCCCGGCCCGGGGCCGGCCCCGGGCCGGGCCCGGCCAAGGCCCCCCCCCCCCCGCCAGCAGCGGGCGCAGGGACAAGGCCGGGCGGAGCGCGGCCCCTCACGGCCGCTGCCTTTAGAGCAACCGCCGGACCCTCCCGCACCCGCGCCGCCCGCCTGGGCCACGCCCCCGCCTTTGCGACACTCGCTTTGCGGCCGGGGCCGGTAAGGTGGGTCTGGGCCGGTGGCGGGGCCGGCGTCCCCCACCATGGCCACCCGGGAGCCGCGGTTCATCGCCCTGGCCCGCCGCCGCGTCGCCATGACCCGCGAGTGCGCCCTCCTGCTGCCGCGCGTCTTCGCCGCCCTGGCCGACCCGCGGCAGCCCGGCTCCGACGACACCTGCCTGGAGAAGCTGCTCGACTGGTTCCGGAACCTGACGGCGTTCGGTGAGTGCCCGCCGCTTGCAGGCCCCCCCTCCCCCCCCCCCGGAAAAGCCCCTGCCGGTCACCGGCGGCCGGGGGGGGGGGGGGCCTTGGCCGGGCCCGGCCCGGGGCCGGCCCCGGGCCGGGCCCGGCCAAGGCCCCCCCCCCCCCGCCAGCAGCGGGCGCAGGGACAAGGCCGGGCGGAGCGCGGCCCCTCACGGCCGCTGCCTTTAGAGCAACCGCCGGACCCTCCCGCACCCGCGCCGCCCGCCTGGGCCACGCCCCCGCCTTTGCGACACTCGCTTTGCGGCCGGGGCCGGTAAGGTGGGTCTGGGCCGGTGGCGGGGCCGGCGTCCCCCACCATGGCCACCCGGGAGCCGCGGTTCATCGCCCTGGCCCGCCGCCGCGTCGCCATGACCCGCGAGTGCGCCCTCCTGCTGCCGCGCGTCTTCGCCGCCCTGGCCGACCCGCGGCAGCCCGGCTCCGACGACACCTGCCTGGAGAAGCTGCTCGACTGGTTCCGGAACCTGACGGCGTTCGGTGAGTGCCCGCCGCTTGCAGGCCCCCCCTCCCCCCCCCCCGGAAAAGCCCCTGCCGGTCACCGGCGGCCGGGGGGGGGGGGGGCCTTGGCCGGGCCCGGCCCGGGGCCGGCCCCGGGCCGGGCCCGGCCAAGGCCCCCCCCCCCCCCGGCCGCCGGTGACCGGCAGGGGCTTGTCCGAGGGGGAGGGAGGCCCGGGGGCCGGGACCCCGGGGGAAGCCTCCCTCAGAGGTGCCGTTCCCTCGCTGACACCTGCAAACACCGTTCGGCACTTGAGGCCTGTACCTGGGCTTGGGCTTCAGGGGAACCCAAATTGGTCTCTAGCAGTTGTGAGGGGTGACACTCAGCTCAGGCAAGCACCTTAGAGTTATAAGAGGGGACAGAAGTCCTGGCAGTGACCCTCTGTTTTCTGGCCTCTTCTGGGGCAACACCCGGTCGCTAGATCCTACCGTGAAGCTGCTGCAGGACAACCCCTGTCTGACAGAGTTCATCACTGCCGTGCTGGCACTGCCAGAGCCCAGTCCGAGCATCCTCTCCTTTACCCTGCGGTTAGCTGGGATACTTGCCGCTTCCGAAAACCGCTTCCAACACTTGCAGGTGAGTTGGCTACCCAGGTACCTGCTGCCACATGTCTGTTTCCTCCTTCTATATGGAGGACACCTGAAAATGTACCTGTCCTGCTTATAAAATTTCTGGCATACATTGAACAACTCAGCAAACAGTGACATGATAATGAAGACCCACAATCATACTGTTCCTTTTCACTTCTCATGTAAAGCTGTTGTCTTCTTCTGTCTTGCCACAGTATTACTATGAATGTCAATATGTAGTGCTACTCATCTGCAGTTCGAAACAGTATATGGGATAACATTATCTCACAGCAGTCGTTGCAAAATATTGTATCCCTGGACAGATCCTGTAGATCTAAACTGCACTAACAGATGTAGTTTTCCCTCCACAGCAGGCTGACAGGAAATCTCTGATTCCCTGCAAAAATGAGGGAGTTTTTTAAAGCCCTGCTTTCTACAACAGAATGCATTTATAGTACAAAACTCAAAGCCCAAAAGGCTTCCTTCAGGGAAGAGATGCATACAACTGCATAAAGCAGTCTAATGGAACTGATACATACATAAGTTGTCCTTAGCATCTTAAAAACAAGTCTGTGAAAGAAACAGCTGTTGAGTTTAAGCATGAGATTCTGAAAATTTTCTATTTTGATGATACCTCTAGCAAGAGAAGGTTTCACTACAGTATTGATACTCTTGACTTGGATGACAGAGCAACCTCTCCACTCCCCTTGAGCCCCTTTCCTTACTGTTTATTCTGTGTGTTCTCTGGCCTCAGCAGGAGAAGCTGTTGGTCAGGCTCTTTGGCAGGGATGGGCCGCTGAACAGTGCAGTGTGGGAAGATGCATCTGTGCGCAGTGGCTGGGTGGAGGGTGTGCACAGCATGATGCATCACCAGCCTGCCCTCCACTTCCTCTGCAATGGTGGTGAGTACTTCTAGGACTGGTAACTCCCCTAATCCTCTCTGTCTCTTCCATTCTAGTCAGTTGCTCAGATGTTAAATGAGAGAGATGGAAGTTTTCATTTATTTAAGATAAAAATAAGCCATTTGTCAAAACCACTGAAGTCATTAAAAGATGTTGGGGTTTTTGTTAAATTAGCTATGCATTTAATTTTTTTCTTCCCAAACACTGAAGATGGTGCCCTTTTTCGAGGGGAAAGAGGCACATCTTCTGAAACACATGATAAAAATAGCTTAAAAGCCTTCTGTGTTCTTATTTGTAACTCTTACTAAAAGGTACATTTCAGTGTGATTTTAGTGCAGAAAATCTAACCAGGGGCTCATTTATCTCTTAACACTTGCAGTATTTGCAGTCCCATTGTTGTTACATGGGTATGTAAATTCTGCTGTTAACAGCAACTTTAGATCCCATGTACAGAGGGGCCTAAAAGACTGGACTGGTACTAGTGTGCAGCATGCGCTGGTGTCCATGTGATGGAAAAGTTAGTACTGTTGCTGCTGTTCATGTTTTTCCTACTGGTTGTGTCCGGAGATGGTACCTGCTCCTTCCATAAATACACAGTGAGTGTGCTGTCAACTCTCCTAATATTACCAATGTTATACTGAAGTCCTCTTCTGTTCCTCGGTTATTAAAACACCTGAGGATCTGAAAACAATTTTACTTTCTTGTTTTGTTTGCTTTTTGTTTGTTCTTGCTTAAGCTCTGGCTGGCTTTGAAATGCCATAGACACTACAAAATAAAGTATAAAAAATGCCACCAACACCATTTAAAGCTGTGTGGTACTTGTATGAGAATAATACATGGTTGGAGTGCAAGAAGGCTCCACCTTACAATAGGAAGGCTGTTGTTTTTTCCTCCAGTGACTTGTTTTGTTTTCACACAGGAGGCATAGATGTGATCTTCGCTCTGCAAGGGGATCCCAGCCTGTTTGTGGCTTCAGCTGCCAGTCAGCTTCTGGTGCACATGCTCACCCTCTCTGTAGAGTCTGAAACGACTAAACCTCTCAGTACAAAGGACTGTGACTGGCCAGCGTGTGCCCAAATGATTATAAAGCACATAGAAGATTCCCTTCAGTCCAGCTCTCCCTCTCACATCGAGCAGTCATTAAAACTGTTAACTAGTTTGTTTGGCAATTGTCATGCTACGTGGACTGAAGTACTTTGGTTAGGCATATCAAAGCAAATAGAATCCTTTTTGATGGAAGAGACTGTTCAAGCACAGCACATGCTGGCGAATCTTTTGCTTAAGATGGCATGGTAAAGATCTTCTGGGACCTTGGATCCAGTGATGAAATATATCTGTTTCTACCATCTAATAAGACATATTACTTACACTTATTTCTTCTCAGGTCCCCTGTGTTTTGTGACACTGAAGGCAGTTTTTGGGCATTAGTGACTTCTGCTCTGGAACACTTAACCCCAATACAAGCGGGTCCTTTGGCAGTGGGAATTCTGAGGCTCTACAAATGGTAGGACTTACTGCAATGAAATTTTTGCACTCTGCAAATGTTTTTGTACTAATATCTCTGGTGTCTTTCTTTTTTCCTTGCTGCATTTTCCACTACATTCCTTAATATGTCAGACCAGCGGGCAAGAACTGGGCTAGCAGCTAACAAACTTCAGACACTGATAGGAGAATAATACAGTTTCAAATAGAGAGAAATGAAAGGAGCCACTATCATGTTTGTGTGTATACCCTTGCATCTTACCTATAGCCAGCCAATTTCAGGAAGAAATAGCATGCTCCTTTAACTTTATACTGCCAAGGTTGATTAAGATGGACACAGTTTGACTGCCTGTCAAATCCAGTAGTCTCTGTTCAGTTTCCTCTTTCACAAAAACACTGGCTAGTGTAAGAGCTTTCACTGCTGTCCAGCAGAAGTGTGCATCTGGAGACTCTGTTGACAGCTGTAGAATAACTAAGGTTAGAAGGAACCTGTAGAAGCGATCTAATTCAACCTCTTGCTCAGTGCAGGGCTAACTTCAAAGATAGATCAGGTTGTTCAGGGCCTTCACCATTCAAGTTTCAAATATCCCCAAGGATGAGGATTCCACAGCTTCTCTGGGCAACCTGTTCCACTTTCATTTCACTGTGAAAAGTATTTTCCGTATGTCCAGTTGGAATCTACGCTGTTTCAATTTAAGGTTCTTGTCTTGTTGTGCACCTCTAAGAAGTCTGCCTGCATCTTCTCCATAACTCCCCTTTAGGTAGCGAAAAAGCATCGAGAAATCATCAGATGAATACAGCACATACGGATACTGATTTACAGGCTAAGTAACACCTGTGTCTTAAGATATAAGGATACCATTTTGTTAACAAGAAATGCCTCTCTCTAAACCCCCTTCTTACGTAGAATCCCACTCTCTATTTGCATAGTTTGATGCGGCTGCTTCTAAATTCCAGAGCCATTTCTCCTGTGCATTCAGTTAGCGAGGGAAGCTTGGAAGAAGGCTTGAATCGTGATAATACTTTCATTGCTCTGTCGTTGTTGGCTTATTTAAAAGCCTGCATGAAAAACATTATTGTGCTCAGCATTTGGGGGCAGATGTTTGGGAAGGAATTGAAGTGTTCTTGTTTTGGTAACTGCTGTTTCCTCCTTGAAGCCCACAAGATGTGAGGATTCAGGCACTGACTGTTCTACTTCAGCCAATGGACTGTATTTTGAGAGCAGCCTCCCAGCCTCTGGAATATGCAGGTACAGTTGTGATAGAAAAGTTAGAGGCTTGTCTGCTTGATAGTGTTTTAATTGTCTGGTGCAGACAAAACTGGAGGAGGAAGAGTAGAAGTAGTCAAGGACAGTAGCAGTGTTTGTGGTGAAGTGCAGCATCCTACT